ATTCACTACTGAGTGGAATGCATTGAAGAAGGTGGATGAATTGTTGGATGCATTCATGGCTTGTATGGTAGTTACACCTTCTATCATTCACAAGGTTTTGAAGGCACAACTCACGGATCAGTAGTGCATTGACAAGGTTGCAGAGATAGCTTCCGGAGAGGTTCCATTCTACTATGTTGGGGCGGATGGAGGTTTGAGGTACAAGGGATGGTTAGTGGTACCTTCTGCTGATGATTTGAGGAAGGATGTGATGACTGAGACTCACCACTCTGAGTTCTCTGTTCATCCAGGAGGCGATAAGATGTATCAGGATATGAAGAGGCAGTTTTGGTGGGCAGGTATGAAGAGGGACATTGCTCTTTTTGTCTCACGATGTAGTACTTGTCAGATGGTCAAGATTGATCATTAGAGGCCGCTACGAGCTCTACAGCCACTACTAATATCGGAGTGGAAATGGGAGAGCATTTCTATGGATTTTGTGGAGGGATTGCCAAACTCTTTCAAGGATCACAACTTTATTTGGGTTATCGTGGACAGACTAACTAAATCAGCTCACTTTTTGCCTATTCGTATTGACTACACTTCGGAGCAGTTGGCGAGACTTTACATTGCCGAGATTGTGAAGTTGCACGGCATTCTATTGTCTACTATATCGGACAGGGATTCGAGCTTTGTGTCAGGATTTTAGAAGAGTTTTCAGCAAGCTTTGGGTACAGAGTTACATCTTAGCACTGCTTATCATCCTCAGACTGATGGACAGACTGAGCGGGTGAATCAGATCATAGAGGATATGCTTCGGTCGTGTGTTTTTGATTTCAAGGGCCACTGGGAGGATTACCTACCGCTTGTAGAGTTTACTTATAACAATAGCTTCCAGAAGACTATTGGGATGGCACTATTTGAGGCGTTATACGGCCGACCGTGTCGATTGCCTGTTTGTTGGTTGGAGGTTAGTGAGAGTAGATTCTTGGGTCCTGAGTTCATCAAGGATACTTCTGAGAAGATTGCTCTTATTCGAGATCGCATGCGTACTGCTCAAAGTAGGCAGAAGAGCTATGCTGATCGTCGCAGTCGTGCTTTGAAGTTTCAGATTGGGGATCAGGTTCTACTCAAAGTGTCGCCTATGAAGGGAGTAATGTGCTTTGGGAAGAAAGAAAAGTTGCCACTGCGGTTTGTCGGTCCATTTATGATTACGGATCGATTTGGAGCTGTCGCTTATCGGTTGGCACTTCCGGATAACTTGGATCGTGTCCACAATGTGTTCCATGTTTCCATGTTGCGGAAATTTCTACTAGATGAAGATCGGTGTCAGCATTTCCATGTTGGGGAGATTGAGTTGCAGCCGGATGCAACTTATCTGGAGCCACCGTATCGTATTGTCAACCGTCGGGATCAAATCCTTCGTAATAAGGTTATTCCTTTGGTTCGTGTTCAGTGGAGTCATCACAATGAGGCTGAGTCTACTTGGGAACGGGAGGATGTCATTCGCTAGTAGTTTCCTGAAATTTTAGAAGAAGGTAAGAGCGAATTCCTAGGACGGAATTCCTTTTGTTAGGGGGGAAGAATGTAACACCCCTAATTTCAAAAGGATAGTCCTGGTATTTTAATTTATTATTTTTATTGTTTAAATTGCATTTTTAATTGTTGAAGTGTATATGTGTTAATTTTATTGCTTTAATTGTGGTTAATTATTTAATTGTTTTCCTTTTTGTGATTTAATTGTTTTCCTTTTTGTGATTTAATTGCATTTACTTATTTAGTGGTAACTATTTAATTTAATTGTTTTACATTTTTGATTTAGTTGTATTAATTACTTTATTGTTGTTTACTTGTGTTTGTTTTAATTAGTTGTTTTTAATTTTTGATTAAATGGTATGAATTTATTTAATTAAATTTCATAGGTTTTAACGTGACTATAGGATTGGTAGCATATTTTAGGTTTACAGTTTACATAGGTAGCTGACACAGTTTAACCTAGATTGTGCTATGGGTTGAGTAATTCGTTTAGGGTTTAACTGAGCCTAGGGCTAGTGTGTCCTATAAATACTCGTCTAAGATGTCTTCCTAGGGTTTTAGAACAATATTATGCCATAGTAAGACACAAAAAGTTTGGAGACGGCTGGGAAGGAAAACTGAGAATTAACAAAGGATTCGCCGGAAAATATAGACGAACGTCGGTGTAAGGCAAGTTCTATCCTTACTCTCTCCCTTAGGCTTCGTGTTCTTTGCATTCCTAAATAATTCTAGGGTTGATTGAATTACTAAAACGTTATCTGTTTATGCTAGAACTTGAATTAAAACTGTTTGGTTGCATGCCTGCTTAAACTGTTATCACGTGATTTTTGCTTGTTTAATTCTCTATTTAAACTTATGTGTGGGTTGTATTAAAGACTTAAACATGGACTGGGAATCTATTGGGATTGAGATTAAGACTTCCAGAAACCATAGCATAGGGCAGAGTAGTTGCAGAAGGTGTCTGAAGAAGAGGGAATATGAAAAGACGAAGCAGAGAGGGAGAGAGCCGGCTCCTCTGTGTTTAGAGGCGGCTCCCAAAATGTGGAACCGGCTCCAAGGTCTAAAGGAGGCGGCTCCACATTTTGGGAGACGTCTCCTTTGGTGAATTTTGTTTTCTTTTCGTTCTCTGTAAGTTTTTCATGCAGTAGAGTGATTTCTGGGATTTTTGGATGAGTTTAGGTCTGAGTGTGGAAGGTTTAAATGAGGCTCATGGATGTGTTAAGGTTCCAAGAGGTGTATTAATAAACTAAATACCAAGGTAGCTTGGACAGTGGATAGTTTAAACAAATTAATGCACTGCTTAGAGCTAGAAGATTTAAATTGCTTAATCAGTTATGTTAGTAATTTTTCTGGAATGAACAATATAACTAGAACATGTTTCACCATGTATCATGATCAGTTGCTGAATTACATCTGTTTTGGAAGAGTTAGTGTTCAATAATATTAAGATTCAGACAACTTAGCACTACTGGATTCTGGGAAATACCATGGATTAAGCATGTATATATACATACTGTAATTCTATCTTGATACTTGCATTAATACTATTAGTACCAACTGTTGGAGGAATGGACTTTGTTAATGGTTGCTTTAAATGTCTGTAATATCAACTGCTGAGTATTGAATGATAATTTGAAATAATCTTATCATTATATCTGATTTTATGAAACAACCTAAACTGAGTAGGTTTGTGTATATACAGTGACTATGTTTCTTGATGCTTACATTATGTCTGTTAGTATCAGTGTTGGATATAAAACTGAACCTGTTTATGTATATAGCTTATTCCGTTTATTGATGCTTACACTATGCCTGTTAGTATCAGTGATGGAAATATGGATTTAGTTGATGTTTACTTAAATTATTGATATTATCAACTGCTGGATGATTGGACAGTATACACCGGTATGGGACGGTGGTATACTAGGGACGGTTTGGTTTAAAAATACCAAAGCCTACCTACTCTGGATTAGGAATTGGATTAACTAAAACTTAAGTCCTATTGATTGGGGTGTCATGGCAACGACGAGCGGCACTAATAGGATTTAGGATGGATTTTAAATATATTGTTATAGTACCTCGATATGAGCTTAAGTCTGAGGATCGACGGTTAGGGAGTGTATATGCATTAGGATGCATAGCTAGATACGATGGTTAGAGGTGTGCCCTGTTTAGGTTTAGGTACACATGCCCATTTCATGTGCGTTTTAGCATGTTACCTCTATTCAGGTTGAGACCGGCCTGTAGTCCAGTGAGAGTCCTTTAGTGTTACCATATATACATTTACGGACTATTAGCTATTATTGAATTGTTTAGGGTGTACATGCGTATCGGGCCTCTGTTTGGATTGTAGTAGTATAGAACTTGCGCGTGGGCCTGATCCACTTCTATTTTTCAGGTACACGATAGTTCCAGACTTAGACGTGTTCGTACTGAGCAGAGGTTTCTATTCACTCTACCGACGATGTAGGACTTCTCTTCATAGCTTATTTCTAGATGTCTTATCAGTCATTTTTATTACTGTTTGGATTATTATTAGGGGTCCACTAAAGATGGATTCCCGAGTACCCTTGGAGGTTTTGGAGTTGGATTATTTAATCTTTATTATTTGAGGATTTTATAATAGTTTCTTTCAGCTTAAACTATTATTTCTTAATTCATTTTGTCATCTGTGTTCATTACGTATTAATTGTTTGATATTTCCCTCGGGTTTGGGCCTGGGCCTGATCAACCTGTGTCTCGGATCCATGGGATATCACAACAAAGACGAAAGACTCCAAGCTTTCCTTACTAGGTTCAACCTCATCAAGAGCATGGTAATGGAATGTCATCCATCCACGGCGGTTCAAACATTCAAACTTGTAATAAACCGAGGGACACCGTTCCACACAAGCTTGGCAGTGAATACGCCGAAGACCATGGATGAGCTGAACGAGAGAGCTGACAATTTTGTGCATCTAGAAGAAGAGGAAGCAGCTAATGCAAGGAAGACATCAATCATCTCAATAGAGGAAAAGTCCAAAGCTAATATCCGACAAAAATAAGCTCAGCCACAGCGTCAAACCTTCTGGAAGGCCGAGAAAAGGCCTAGAAAGGAAGAGTTGGTTACTCTGCTTAGAGTTACTCTGGCGAGGCTATATCAAGAGAATAAAGATAAGTTCTGCCCTCCCTTACCAATCAGATAACCTCTTGAACAGAGGGATAAATCTAAACATTGTGCTTTCCTTAGTGACTTTGGTCATCAGACTAATGAATGCAAGAACTTGAAGAGGCAAGTGGAGGTGCTGATCGCAAGGGGGGAGTTTACGGAGTATGTTCAAGGGCCAACACAAGAACAGAACGGACTAGTTGAGCAAGTCAAGAGAGCTCAAAAGTTGAACCACCATAGCACTCAGCCCGTTTGGATTATAAATGCAATCTATGGTCGACCTGAATAGACCACAAAGTTGGAAGAGTTACTTCGAACGCGTCACCATCAGGCACAGATGAAGAGGAGAATAGGAAGCGTGAACGCTCTGCACCATCAGAAGGTAGCAACACTGATAAAGTTCGACAGAATAGACTTGTTGCAAGTTCAGACTCCACATAAATTTCCTTTGGTTGTTTGCTTGACAATTGCAGAGTGCCTAGTGCGAAGGGTGTTAATTGATCCAGGGAGTAATGCGAATGTCATGCCAAAGGTCATTTTTGATCGGCTCGAGATCAAGTCGGAGAGGCTTAAATGTATTGGAAATCCGTTGTTGGGATTCGATGGAAAAAGAGTAGAACCGATCGACACAGTAGAACTGCTTGTTCGAGCTGCCGACAGGGAACTTATCGAAAGTTTTGTAGTAGTGGAGATCTATCCCTCCTACAATCTGTTGATAGGAAGAGGGTGGATTCATAGGGTCCAGGGAGTTCCATCGACCCTGCACCAGGTAATGCGATGTCTGAACTCGGATGGAAGTAAAGTGATTGACATCTATAGGGATCAAGTTGCTGCCAAGGAATGTTACTCGATAACTCTGAGAGCCATGGGGAAGGAGAAAGCCCCCATCTGCTCTACCTACCCGAGTTAGCAATTAAAGGAACCTCCCCCCCCAACACAAACGGGGAGGGGGAACCCTCGGCATTGACTGAAGAATCTTTGGTTGATGTACAAATTGATAACTCAAGGCCAGACCAAACCACGAGAGTGGGTTCAGGGCTTACAGAGCAAGAAAAGTGCCAATTAGTTGATTTTCTTTCTCAGAACGTGGATGTGTTCACTTGGAGCCATTCGGACATGCTGGGGATTGACCCTCTGTCTCTTGTCACCCACTTAACATAGATCCGAGCGTCAAACCTGTAAGGCAGAAGCAAAGGAGATTCACCCCGAAGCGCAATCTGATCATTGCTGATGAAATTGATCGATTGTTAGAAGCTGGGTTCATTAGGGAGGTTCAGTATCCGTCCTGGCTATCGAACGTGGTAGTAGTACAAAAGAAGAATGAAAAGTGGAGGGTCTGCATTGACTTCACCAACCTGAATAAAGCTTGCTTGAAAGATAGCTTTCCACTCCCAAAGATTTATCAGATGGTAGATGCTACGACTGGATATGAGCGGTTAACTTTCCTGGATGCATATTTAGGCTACAATCAATCCCTATGGATCCAAGCGATGAGGAAAAGACTTCTTTTGTTACTGAACGAGGGATCTACTGTTACAAGGTTATGCCGTTCGGACTAAAAAATGTTGGAGTAATATTTTTAAGAGTCAAATGGGTAAGACCGTAGAAGCTTATATCGATGATATGGTAATGAAAAGCAGAAAGAAAGACTATCATTTGCAAGATTTGCAAGAGGTGTTCGGGGTACTTAGAAAGTATGGAATAAAGTTGAACCCAACTAAATGTTCGTTCGGTGTAGGCTTTGGGCAATTCCTTGGCTATGTGGTCAATAACAGAAGGATTGAAGTTAGCCTAGCCCAAGCAGAAGCTTTACTCAAAAATGTAGAACCAAGTACTATCAAATAAGTACAAGCTCTCACCGGACGCGTAGCGGCACTAAGTCGATTCATCTCTAAGTTGTCAGACCGATGCAAGCCATTTTTGATACAATAAGAAGTCATAGAAAGCAATCCTGGGGGGATGAGCAGAGGCAAACGCTAACCAGGTTGAAAGAGTATATGCGAAATCCACTAGTTTTAACCGCCCCAAAACCAGGTGAGAAGCTCTTCCTGTACCTTAGAATTTCTAATATTGCAATTAGTGGCGTTCTGATACGATATGAAGAAGGCAAGCAGTTCCTAGTTTTCTATGTCAGCAAAACAATGACCGAACCAGAGAGAAGTTATTCTAAGGCCGAACGGGTAATCTTGTTCATGGTAAATACAAAGACGAAGCTCAGGCATTACTTTGAGTCTCATCCTATAGTCGTTCTGACCATATTTTTGATAAGGGTGATCCTGCATAATCAAAAGAGCTAAGTTCTTTTGACACAACGTATGAACCCCAAACGGCTATTAAAAGGCAATCGGTGGCCGATTTCCTACTGGAGTGTGATGTGGCAGAGCCAGAAAAAAATCCTAAAGACTCCTCATGGAAGCTTTTCATTGATGGTTCTTTGAATCAGATGGGGGCAGGAATTGGGGTCAAGTTACAGACACCAGAAGGCACCATGCTGAGCCAAGCGATCAGACTCGAATTCAAGGTGACTAACAATGAAGCAGAATATGAAGCATTATTGGCTGGGTTAAAATTGGCCAAGGAGCTAAAGATCAAAAGCTTAGTTGCTTTTAGCGATTCGCAGCTAATTATTCGGCAAGTGATTGGGGAGTACGGAATCAAGGATGAAACAATGGAGGCATATCGTTCCACCGTTTTACGAGAGGCTGAAAGTTTTGATCAGGTCAAGTTCATCCAATTGCTGAGGGAGCGTAACGAGGATGCCGATTGGTTGGCATGCATTGCGTCGAGCTCTGGGGAAACCCTGGCAAGGGTAATTTCGGTTGGTGTATTGAGCCAACCATCTATCTTTGAAGAACCATTAAGCCCCGGATACTTGGCAAGTGAATGTCATACCATATGAGCCGAGCTAGATAGATCCAATTATGACTTATATACGAGATGGTGTTTTACCCGAGTAGAGGGACGAAGCAAGGACGATCATATCGAATGCTGCGAAATATGCTATAGTGCACCAATTGTACATGAGGTCTTATTTAGGGCCTTACTTGAAGTGTGTGATGAGCGCTGAAAAATGCGTATTTAAACCCCTTATGCTTATGTATACTAGGACTTTTATCTATCTTACTTTTTCATTTTAGACTAATTTCGTGTTAATGCCCTTTTCAGGTACTTATCCCCAGAATAAGCTAACTCAGCTAAATAAGAGCATAATTGAAGCAATCTTAAGATGAATCAAAGAAAGGAGCAAAGTAGAAGCAAAAGGAAGCAAGTGGTGGAAATTCAGTAAGTTCAATCGATCTTAGTAAACATTTGATCGATCCAACTTTGATCGATCTCAGCACTTCAAGATGGATCTGAGCTATTTTGTCCTTATCCAAAGATCTCACAAAGTTCGATCGATCCAACTTTCTTCAGATCAATCGAAGAGATTCCTTCTTATCCAGGTGTACCACCACACCTGCCACTTTTGTCTCTTTCCCAAAAAATATCTCCAAAATATCTCAAATTTTTCTTTATCCAAAAAGACGCCGCCATAGAGGATCGATCCAGCTTAATTTCGATAGATCTCAACCATGTTCGATCGATCTCAGAGTATATTCGATCGATCAAACTTCCCCAAGTTTGAGAAAATTCAATTTCCAGCTCATTAAAAGTTGTCTCATATCCAATCATTGGGGAGGAATATTGGTGCACAAGCCCAGGTCATTAGGGGTGACATTTAACCTACCTATATAAGGAAAATGAGCTACTTTTACAAGGTGGCTACACTAGACTTTTGAGACAATTTCCATATTCTTAGAGAGGAAGAAAAGAAGAGAGGAGGCTACAGACACAAGCTTAGAGTTCTTCCATCAACCAAGAAGAGGAATAATTTCTACCATGGAGTTAGCCCTTAAGGGTTGGAGGACACCATCCATGAGTGGCTAGACTTCCTCTTGGGGCTAGAGTTAGCCCTAAGCATGCTTTCTACATCTTGATTTATGTATTTTTGAGGGAATTTGTATTGTAATACATGTTTTGACATCGTTATATACATAGATCTTGTTTATTCAATGATTTGTGTGGTTTAATGCTTATAAGTGACCATTTTATTCTATCCATATGTCTATGTATGCTAGAATAGATGTTTATGTGCTTATCTCTATTTCTTCTGTTGTTGATGCATGTCTATGTGCATTAATGCTATAGATATAGAGATTGTCAAGATATAGTGCTTAATAGAATGCTCTTGTGGTTTATTTGATAGTTCATAGTCATTTTTTGATGGATTGTGCCTCTCCCTTAGTTTAATTAGTTTAATTTCATGTCATTAACTTAATTGTAGTGTAATGTAGTTATAGCTTAGATGCTAAATGGGAGGACAATCTATGCTTGTTGTTTGATGTTCCACACTTATGAATGCAAGTAGCATATTCCTCTAATTTTGTGATGTGTTTGGATTATGAGCTTAAATAAGGATTAATGGCTTAGTTTGATATATTGTGCTATTCATTGTGTTGTCTAGACAATATATACTTAATTGGTCATCCATGCTTGTTGAAACAACCACACACACACTATTGTTGCAATACATGTTTTCCCCCTCATTAATCATTCATTAAGGGTGTAGAATTGCTATGCTTAGTGGTAATCTCTATACCCCAAGATCTCTTTCTTTTTTATATTCTCTCGATTGCATTTAATTGTTTACTTTAGTTTAAATTGCATCTTAGTATAATTCAATCACCAACCAATCTTTTGATCACTCGACCTACTAACCTTAATCTCGATTCCACAACCTAATACGACCCACCAATCCCTTGGGACGATCCCTACTTGCCCTAGCTATATTTTTAGTGAAAGGTAGTAGTGGCAAATCATAAATGTAAAACTTGGCCACACTTATCTTAGTAGACCATTTTGCAAGCTTTGGTATAAACGACCCACCAAGTTTTTGGCGCCGTTGTCGGGGATTGATTGAAGGCAACGTCGTCTTTGTGGAATCAATTAGGAATTAGTACTCTTTTGATCGTGTCTTTACTTTATTTTCATTTTCATTTTGGTTACTTATTGTGTTGGTTCTTGTTTGACTAGATACATTGAGCTAGAAGGTGAGCAAAGGAGCATTTTGAGCAAGGAACTAAGCAAAAGCAAGGAAAAAGCTAAAATCTAAAAAAAATTTGCAAGGTTAAAATTGAAAATTGAATTGAAGTTGCTTAAGGACCCTTTGTGAGATCTTTCTAACTCAATTCTAGTTAAATTGTCGGCCTGCGTGGAGACATATTTTTGCATTCTTAGATAAATTATGAGCTCACGTGGAGGCAATTTACTTTTCTTTGCATGATTGTTCAAGTATGGGAGTATGGGATCTTTGTATGTGGAGATTTGTTGATTGATTTGTTATGGGGGCGAAGTGATTGTTATTTTCTTATTATTTGCTTTGCTAGTGTATGCATGGTCGTAGGTTATTAAATCCTACTCTTGTCCCTCCTAATATGCTTCTTGAATCGGTTATTCGTAATCCTAGGGGAAGAAGTAGTTCTCATCACTCCATTTCACCAATGAAGGATTTGAATGATGACCATGTGGAGAATATTGGTTATATAGACCAACAAGGAATCCTCCATCCTATTGTGCATCATGAAAATGTTCAAGTACCATTAGGCATGCCAAGGCCATTCATTCATCCACCGCAACAACAAATCCAAGTTCCATTGGGAATGCCTAGGCTAATGTTTGCTCCGCAACCTCTCATAATTCAAGACAATCAAGGTGCCCATGTTGCACCTCCAATTGTTAATCCTCCCCTTGCTTTAAGAGATCACTATGTGTCTAATGAATATAATGCACCCACATGAATTTAATTGCCACCATTTAGAGCACATCACTATGAAATCAAACCACAAACCATTCAAATGCTTCCTAACTATCATAGACTTCCAAGTGAAGAACCTTACAAGCATTTGGATGAGTTTCTTGAAGTATGTTCCACTGTGAGATACACGGACATGCCGGAAGAGGTCTTAAGGCTTAAACTTTTTCCATTCACCCTTAAAGACAAGGCAAAATATTGGTTTAACAATCTTTGGCCTTTTTCAATAACTTCTTGGGCAGAAATACAACAAGAGTTCTTGAAGAAGTACTATCCGGTTTCTAAGACCAATGCCATGAGAACCTCAATTCGAAAGTTTTCACATGGGGATGGGAAAACGTTCCATGAGGCATGGAAAAGATTTAATGAATTGCTTAGGAAGTGTCCACATCATGACATGCCCAAATGGCAATTAGTTTAATATTTCTTTGAGAGTTTATCCGATAATTACAAGGGTATAGTTGATGCTTCCATGGGTAGCTCTTACATTGATAGGCATGAGGATGACGTGTGGCGTCTTTATGAGAGCATGAGTGAAAATTCTTTGCATCGAACTTTATCTTCTAAGAATGGTAGGAACTCAAATGGAAGGAAGAGTGTTGGCTTACATTAAGTTGACCATTCCAATGAAATAGCCGCCGAGATGAAATCATTATCTCAAAGGTTTGATCAATTCTTGATCAACCAAGTAAATCAAGTATCTTCCCT